CACGCACACACACACGCACACACACACATACACACGCACACACACACACACACACACGGCCCACCTGCCCTATGAGCTGCGCCACCTCCTTGGCGCTGATCCGTACAGTGCCGTGCTCCGCCATGTGCTGCGGCGGCCGCGGCGGGGTTTAGGGTTTGGGGCGTCGGCGCGGCGTGGGAGATGGGCCCCGACGAGGCGCCGCGCCGCGGCGGCGGGGGGCGGCGAGCGGGGGCGCGAGGCGTGCAAGTCACAGGGCTGCAGGCAGGCAGGGGCGGCGAGCAGCACTCTGTCGGCCCCGCGGCCGCACGCTGGTCGTCCTGGGCAGGGAACACCCCTGATGCCCAGCCCCGGTTGCGTCCCCGCGCGTCTGATCCCGGTTTGATCCCGGTGGCCCCCCGACTTCCAAGTGTCACCTGCGGAAGGTGCTTTGTGCTCATCACCAGGTCTATCACCCGCTCCTCATACACACACAACTTGGTCGACTGGAGGGGCGTTGGGGCGTGGGCGCACGCGCGTGTGTGTGCGTATGTGTGAGTGAAACCGACACGTGTGTTGGTGGGATGCGGCCGCAGGGGGTGTTGAACTCAGGTTTCCAGAATTTAAACTTCCAGGATCGCGGGAATGGACAGCTGCGCCATTCTGATGAGTCGTGCGTGCGGAGGTCCACCCGGCTGCGCCGCGGTCCCGCGTGCATAAAACATAGGCACAGCCACCCGCTCCAGCCCCGAATGGCGGCGCGGCGGGCCCGCGCACCTGCGCCAGCGCGTGGCCTGGGGGGTGGGAGGCGAGGTGGACCGCGCGTTTACAGGGGGTCAAAGGCAGGCCGAGCCTGGCGGCAGCAGCTGTCTGCGCTCGCGGGCCCCTGCCGGCGGCTGGCATTGGCACGCGCCGAAGACCGCGGGCTGCGAGCCCCCAGGCACATGACCCCACTTTGCACCGGCCCCTCGCTCGCTCCACGCCTATTTGTGATTTCAAAGGGATCCCAAACTGCATGCCACACGGAGGTCCATATCATCCCCTCCCCCCCCCCCTTCAACAAAAAAAACTTTCTGCTCACAAATGGCGAGCTTGACCTGGTGGTCTGCAGCCTGCCGCCTACAGCGAGGGAGGGCACGACCAATTCATATGCACACCGGACGGTTGACCGGTTTGACTGGGCCCCTCTACTGCCCTGGGTCCCACCCTGCGCGCCCGAGAGGCGGGCCCGGAGGGCCCGCGGCCACCCGGTTTTGAGGCGCCGCCAAATCGCCCCTCGCGAGCGCCGCGCCGGCCCGCAAGCACCCGCGCGCGGGCCGCGCGGCTGCGCGCCCGACTCAAGCCCCGCCGCCTCCGGCCGGTGGGGGCGGGCTGGCGCTGGGCAGCTCGAGGGCCGCCCCCGCACCTGTTGATTGTTATGCTGTCATTACTCATGGAGGGGGGGTCGTGGACGCTGTACACGAATTGGAACTGCGGGTGACGGCAAGGGTGGTGACGGCCACGGTGGTGTGCGTTTGTGGTCAGCGCGCGCGCGCGCGTGTGTGTGTGTGTGTGTGTGTGTGTGTGTGTGTGTGTGCGCGTGCGCGCGCGCCTGTGTGTGTGTGTGTGAGCGCGCGCGCGCGCACGCGTGTGTGGAGGCGGGTTGAGGTTGGCAAGGTGCTGCTTGCTGATCTTGGGGCCAACAATCTTCGCAACATGCCCCATAACCCAAAAAAATAGCCTTGGACCTCAACCACGCGCGAAAGTCCATCAAAGCGAAGCAAAGTTCTCAGCAGAATGCCACAGCCTGCCGCCGTCGCATACTAGACCAAACGCCGCGCTCGGGCAACCAAATCCCCAACTGAACGCCCGGAGGTCGCCCCCAGATCACCCCCAGATCACCCCACCTGGTCGATCTCGACCTCCTCCATCGACAGCGGCTCCTCCGCGCACTTCTTGGCCAGCTGCACCACTTCCTGCTCCCGCAGCTGACTCAGGCCCCAGGTGCACACCACGCCGTACTGCGGGCGCGCGCACAGGGGGGGGGGGTGTCGGCCTCATCGGGCAGGGCATCGGGCGGGCTGAAGAGCGGCGTGAGGGTGTAGCGAGCCGCGGCCGCGGTCGCAGGGAGAGGGGTTGCGGCGGGCGCGCGGCCGCGAGGGGGATGGCGGCACGTGAGGCGGCCCTGGGGGGCTCGAGGCCGCAGGGGGGCCCTCAGCCGCGGGCGCCTTGGTGACGAGTGCACGGACGCCGCCCCCGGGTGCACGCCCAATCCGCCGCCCGCCCCCCCCCCCTCGCCCCCCGAAGCTCGCGGATCCATCCATCCCTCTGCTCGCCCTTCTCAACCCCCATCACTACCCTGTTGTGCCACAAACTTTTCTTTCCAATCCTGTTC